ATATAGGATATGACTCTTAGAACCCCTTATTTAAGCAATACAGATAGATATATATCCCAGTGCTTTTCTGAGTGGTTATATCCTAGAAATGGCAAAAAAATGAAATTATAATTTAACTTACATCTACTGCATTAGACTGTTTAGATGCCTGTTTGCTAAAGGTGCTATGTGGCATTGAGACCTTTCATGCCATTTAATCATGATGTCATTAAATTGTCTCTTTGAATCATCATTAGGTATAGATAGCATCTGAATTTTATGAATGAGAAGTGCTCATCAGCACGGTTTTGAATTCCCCAGAGTAACTCATGTCCATGAAAAAATGGATAAAACTGATGTTCAAGCCAAGTCCCCCAGCTGCAAAGATATAAGACGTTGCTTTTTCTATTATAACATGCTCATGTCAGTGACAAAGGAGACGTTGGCCTGCAAGATTTCAATAAACTGTGACAAATCTACAAGACACGTTCTGTTTGATTTGTTTTTGAGAGAGAGAGAGAGAGAGAGACAAAGACAGAGACAGAGACAGAGACAGAGAGAGATGATGAGAATCTTTGGAGTTGGAACTGGAGTTATAAGGGGTAACCGCTAAGCAATCTCTTCAGTCCCACATTCTAGTTTTTATTCCAAACTTTATTGTATTGGTCTCTAGTTGTCTGTAAGATCAACTGTAATTTTATGATAATAACATACCCATGTATATATGCCACAACATCATTTCGTCAACTTTCATATGGTAAAAAATGGTAAAAATACATTATATTGAAAATATGTATTTAAAATTAAAGTAATAAAAAAGAAACTATAAAAAATATGTATAACCTTCTCAACTTCTATTGAATCCTAGTCATTTCCATAGAAGGAACTACTTTTACATATCTCTATTGCTGGCTTAGTTAAATATTGCTAAGTAATATGTTTAGAAACCATTGGAAGCCATGTTCATGCTGAAATTCCATTTCTGATGTCTCAGCTACAGTGAATTCTGGTTTCTCTCTCTCTCTCTCTCTCTCTCTCTCTCTCTCTCTCTCTCTCTCTCTCTGTGTGTGTGTGTGTGTGTGTGTGTGTGTTGTTCTTGTTCTTGTGAATAAACCCAGGGCTTTGTGCTTGTTAGGCTAGGGCTCCGTAACCCAGCTGCATGCATGGCCTCATCCCACTTCTGACACCAGATATCAAAGATATTCGATGCTATAAGGAAAACAATATATTTATTTACCAGAGAGACAGAGAGTCGCACAAACCAGGAGTTAGAAGCGTGGCTGGCTTCCAGGAGAAAAGGGAGGTTCCTTTTCCTTTCACTTCCTTTTATATCTACCAGTGTCAGTTTACATGTCCCCGCCTTCATGGGCAGATAGCTTTGTGGGGTTCATTCCTACACTCACCAATAATATATTTGATTGGCCATACTTACACTGAAAAACTTGTGTATCTGAAATTCAGATTTGCTCAGCATCTTAAATTTTTCTGGCTGCCTTACTCGGTTTTCCATTGTTAGGCACCATAAGTTTAGAGACTGGGGATATAGCTTATGGTAGAGTGCTTGTCTCACCTGAATGGGATGCTAGATTCAGTTTCTTGCACTACGTATTTTCCTTGAGTCAACTCCAGTCATGTTTTTTCTTTTGGTAGGGGGCACAGAAATCTTATGTGATAAATCCTTTGCATTCTGTTGCATACTGAGACTTTTGATGAGATTTTTGTCCTATTGTTGGCAAGATAGGATTACTTTTGTACATGGTTTTGAACCCAGGACCTTGCACACATGTGCTATAATTCCTAGCATGCATGGGTGTGCTTAAGAAACAGACTTGAAGAATTGATCCTGCAGCTTGGTGGTAGAGTGCTAATGTGTGAGGCCCTGGCCCTGTAAGAAAAGGAAATAAAAGGCAGATCAGAAATGTATTCTCCTTCTCAAGTTTGTCATTGGTATGTTATCCCAGCACACAGAAAATACACTATCTGCTATCTTTTTCATGTCTTTTTGGCTTCATTCCCTGACCCCTCTCCTCCCCCCACTACACTGCATGTACCTAAGTAAGTTTCTGTCTCAGTGTCCTTTTGATCCTGCAGTGAGCTGAAGCCTTCACTACATGATGTTTCCTTTGCCAATATTTCTTCATGCTCCACGACCTCAAACCTTCTTCCTGTCCGCATATGATCAAACTTTCTTATCTGGCTAATTTCAATTTTTCTTTCCATTCTCAGTATGTTACTTCCTTACAGAAACATCTCTTGATTCCTCCTAAATATATTTTCACTTTACTAATTCATAAATTCACTTTTACTTTTGTGATTATTTGTTTGTCTGGAGTATATTTTGGAGGAATTGGTAACATATGCTTTCATTGTACTGTAATTTCAATGACTCTGATTTTTCATGTACAATAAGGTATGACCCAATTTTTCCATTCATTCAATAAATATGTACCACGTACATATAATGTTAGGTCTCAAACCCCAGACAAATGACTAACTGAGGTGTCTATTTAACATACCAAAGCAGACTCTGTTACAGGGTCATCCTCCCTGGCATACCTGTCCTGGTACCCTAAACACTATAGCCCAGCTTTTCTTCCCTGTAGAATCCAGCCATATTGACTACACCTCTTTCTTGGTCTTCTGGTTTGCTCCTGGCCTCTTGACTCCTGGTTTTTCTCTTTTGCTCTCTTGCTGGCCCACATTCCCCATCCCTCAAGGCCCAGTTCAGTCTGGACACTTTCAAATGCCTCTGGCTGTGCTCTTCACAGCCTTATCATAGCTACAATAAACCTTCTCCTCCACCCATGACCAGGAGCTAGGAGTGTCATGTCCTCCTTTTTTCAAAAAATTTGCTCATTTTTTTATTCATGTAATGTGCCTCCTACTCTTCTAGTGCCAAGAAAAGTAAAAACAGTTGTAAAATATTAGATGGCAATAAATGCTAACTAGGAAGATGAGTGAGGAAGAACTATAAGTATATTTCTGTGAGCCATTACAATTTCATTTAATTTTTTTCCCTTTCAGTGTTAAGTATTGAACACAGAGCCTTGTTCAAGCTAGGCATTCAGTACTTTCTAACTGCACAACTACCCCGGCCAAACATTACAATCCTAAATTGGATAATGACCAGAGAAAACTCACTCCAAACTTTTGAATTAATACCCATAGAAGCGAGTCATGAAGATCCTTGGGGACAAAGCATTTTGTGGAGAGTGAAATAAACATGCAAAGTCCTGCTCTGGAAAGGCAAATGGAAATTTTCATGACCAGCCAGCAAGGAGGAAGTAAGAGATAAAGATCGGTGACAGGTGGGTGGCCAGCACTATAGTTTCTCATTGACACTAAGAATTTTGAAGGTTTTCTTTGTGTGACTAGGTCAGATCTAATTTACATTTTATACTGGGTCCTTCTGTGTTGATTGTAGACCTACCAGGGGCAACTCCCTTAAAAGAAACCAACTCCATCTCCCAGGCCTTCAGCCATTGCCGGTCTCCATTGCTGAGGTTGTGCCTAACCGGAGCTCCTGCAGGTCTTTTGCATGCTGTGAGTTCACATGTGAAATGGCCCAGAAAACACTTTCCTCGAGGGTATGATACAGTTGTCCCATTTAGGGCTGAACTTTTCTAGTCTCTTATTCTCTGTGCTCCGGCTGTTGGTGGGAATCTGTGTTAGTCACTGCTGAGAGCTGAGAGCCGCATTCATCCATGGGTTTAACAGTAAGTCACTAGGAGTTGGTTTAATACTCTGAACATTTAGCAGTATCAGGTTCCCTCCTATGGCCTATGGCCTATCCAGCCATAGTTCTTGACCTGATAAAGGTGCCAGGTATGAGTTTCAGCTTGTGAAGTGGAACTTAAATCCAAACAGAAAGTGGTTGGTTAGTCCCATGATACTCCTGCCACTATTGCAGAGTGGGAATGGCTTTCCGGGCTCGTCATTACTTCCAGGGTTCACTGCTGGGGAAGACTGAGATTGCGTTTCTCCTCTGGTTGCATATATATCATGTACATTCCATTCTTTGACCATTTCTATTGAGCACTCCCTCCCAACCACTTTTTCTCATCAATTTAAGTGAACTAACTTTTGCCAGGTCTGTGGTAGCTACTGCTCTTTTGTTTTGTTTATTTTTATCCCATTCTTGAGCAGAAGTTTTATCCAATTCTTGACCAGAGTGGGCTGGTCCTGGCTGAGAGAATTAGAGCAGTAGAAGATGTGACATTGAGTACCCATAGGTTTTTTGAGATTAGTACAGCCTGATGACTTTAGGCAAATGAAATAGAACAGCTACTTACCGGCCACATTTTGTTAACTGCTTGTACCTTTCTCACTTATGAAACGATGCATGGCACTAGACACATAGCAAACAAGGCTTTTGTGATGCTTAAATGAATCAAGCACGTAAAATGACTCAGGGAATGTGCACACTGAAACCACTGTATAGAAGGATGGCTAAGACTTGGAATTTCGCCTGGCGGTGGTGGCGCACGCCTTTAATCCCAGACTCAGAAGGCAGCGGCAGGCGGATTTCTGCGAGTTCCAGGCCAGCTTGTTCTTCAAAGAGAGTTCCAGGACAGTCTTCAAACCTACAGAGAAACCCTGTCTCGAAAACCAAAAGAAAAAAGAAAAAAAAAAAAAAGAGAGAGAGAGACTTGGTATTTCAAGAACTTCTCGTCTGGATCTGTTTTCTTTTACACACATATTAATACTTTGCCTACATGTATATATACACATGCCTGCTCTCCTTGGAGGTCAGAAGAGGACATCAAGTCCTCTGGAGTTCCAGATGTTTGTGAGCCACAAACTGGGAACTCTGCAAGAGCAAGTGCTCTTAACCTCCAAGCCCCCCAGCTCTGGTATCTTAATGCCTAAAGTCAACTATGGATTTTGTAAGAAGTCCTAAAACATCGCGGGCAGAAGCTCAGCCAAGACAACTGGAGTGAAAAGGGGTGGGGAACGCGTTCACTACCAAAAGCAAAACTTAATCTTGGTCCCACCCACGAACCCCGCCTTCGCCGGGAGCCGCTCCAGGACCCCGCCCACGCGCCCCGCCCCTGTGCGGGCCCGCCCTCCTGTTCCTGTGAAGCCCCCGCTGTCCTGGCCACCTTGCGGTGCTGTCTGCTGGGTCTCCACGCTCACTCGGCTTCCTCGGCGACCTCGCCCGTGAGTGCGTGACTTCTCCCAGCTCAGGAGCTGTGTGGCCCAGCCCACGCCTGCAGCTTTCAGGGGAGCGGGCTGGTTCTGGCGGAGAGAGTCAGGGCCCGCAGGCTTCGCGCCGGGCCCGGGCGCTGGAAGTGCTCCGCGGGCTTCCGGTGCCCACCCTTGGGGCTCCCGAGGGGCGCGTGCCGGGTCCGCGGCCAGTCGAGGCTCGAGGCTCGGGGTCAGCCTTGGGCCGCGAGCGCCTCCTGGGCCTGCAGCTCGCGCACCTGGATGGACCGCGGGGCCCGGGGGAAGGGCAGGGTGGGGCGAAGGGTTACATTCTCCGAAATCTCAGCCCCGCTCAGCAGCCAGAGATTGGTGAACCAGACGAACCGGTCGTGTGGGGGAACGGTGGAGGAGAGGCTGCATGGTTTGGGAAAAGGTGATACCGAATTCGGTGCAAAGTCAGGACTGCGTGAAGTCCTCGGAGTCCCTGCACCTGTGCTGGCGTCGAAAGTCTGCCCAGTGCTTCGGGCTCACTGCACCCTGGCCGTGGAGGAAGGGCAGTGGCATTTGTTTTTCAGTCAGAAACTTGACGGAGCAGAGTGACCGTTAGCGCTGGACCTAATGCACTTGGCCTAATGCAGCTTGTGCTTCTCTGTCACTCGTTGGTGGCCGCCTCCGGATAATCAAACAGAGGGTAGGACGGAGTTAAAAATAGGAATGGACCGCAGTGATCCACAGCCACTGTGCCAGACAGTTTTTATATATGTTAGCTCACAGTTTAAATGGTACTATTATCTTTTTCATTCTTCAGCAAACTGGGATTGGCTTAATATCGTAACTGTATGTGTGCCAAATGATAGCGTTAGATAGTGATCCAGGTCTGGAGGGTTTTATAGCCTAAGATTTACAAATGTAAACAGACATGATTTCATAGGTAAGTTATCTGTGTAGTTTCAAGTATTTTCTGTGTTAGCTGCCTAACGTTTGAGTAGAATACATAACCCTTTAAGGCATTTTTCTGCATTTGTAAAATAGCTACAACACTGCTATGTCATAGAGCTGTTGTGAGGGTTAAGTAAATTTCTTGTAAAGCATTCAGCAAAGTGTCTGGTAAACAAACAATGATAAACTACATATACTCCCACGTGTCTTGTCAGCCAGTTACATCCAAATAAAAGCTGTTCAGGCCTAGAACATAGGTAGAGGGAAGCAGCGAAGCTTAGGAAAAAGGAACTGAGAAGAGATGGCATTCGATAGTTGTCGTGACGTTAATGGATTCTCAGGATTAATCTCCTTTTCAACAATACAGAGAAACCCTGTCCCGTAAAACCAAAAAAAAAAAAAAAAAAACCTCCTTTCAAGGCCTTTTATTTTTATTCTTTTTCTGCCGTTATGAGGATTCTTTACAGAGGTAGTTCTTTTTGGCAACAGGACCATGCAGAAGCTCTCTTGCTGAGGCAAAACTGAATTTCTGACTTTCACAGATTAAAAGATGCCTGGCACAGTAAAGAATGAAATATTCTCTTTCAGAATCTCTTCTGATCTAGCCCCAAAAAGCTTAGGTTCTAGAATTCGGGGAACAAAAGTATTCACCGCTTCTAAAGGCATGTTGCTAATTGAACATATCTTCCGATTTTACTTAGAACTGTGAACAATTGTAGACCGTGATCTATAAAATAACTACATGTAAGAAAGCTAACAATTACCTATTTTAAGATATTTTATGGGACTGGAGGCCTTGTGCTCAGTCCCTCAGCACTGGAATAAACATGTAAAATTAAAAAATTTATGAACATTCTTTACAATGCAGTTCCTTCTGCACCATCTGTTTGGGCTCAGGTTCATATTGTTCCTGGGCCCTGTCTATTCTCTGTGCTTTTGTACATGGTGTTTCTTGAAATATTCTATTGCTGTCCCTGGGTTTTATCTGTTATTGTTGAACTACCTCTTTTCTGAAAATTTCTCTCATCAATGGTATAAGTATGCTTGGCGGCCAAGTTAAGAAAGAAAATGTTGGCTATGTAAAATGATTTCATGGTATTTTGATCTTTAAATATTCATAATAAGGCTCTATTCTGTGTCAGAGCATGAGCTCTGTGATGGATCTTTTAGTAAGAATCAATACCACATCCATTAGTTCTTGGGCTCTCTAAGTCCAAGCCTTTGCTGTCAAGTCTTTTCTGTTACCTTTATCTTGCAGTCTAACTTCCTTCTAGAGTTTTCCTTTATGTTCTTAAATTTGTCTCGTAGGAACTGATGTCTAGGTTAAAACAGAAATGAATGGGGAAGAAGACATGTAAAAAAGATTTGTTAAGAACTATCAAGAAAGAGTTTAAATAATCACTTATCGTAGATTTTATTTAATACTAGATTTCTCATACTGATAACCAAGTGAACTTATTATATATACATTTTGATAAGACTCTGATAACTATGTGTAAATTGTAGCTGTAGCTATGTTATGTGCTGGTTTAAATGTATTTGAAGATGGCTGGGAATGGGATGCTGGGATTTTTTTCCCCCTTATTTTGGAGAGGCTTCTCATTCCTTTTATATATAACAGCTTAACTAAACGGAATCATAACCTTTAAAAAGACATGAAAATTAGTCAATATTGTGGTCACACTTAACAAACTGTATTAGGTAGATAGCATACTAGTAGTTTCTCCATGAGGAAGGACTATTACAGTCATCTTAGTAAACTATTTTGAAATAGCATCTTATGAAACAGATGCATTATGGCATGCTCCTGTAGAAATTAGCAAAGCAACAGTGAGTGCAGTTTAAAGTGTCCTTCTACTACCGTAGTGTTTTCTTTTGCTTTGCCCAAGTTTTCCTTGGCTTGCTTGCTTCCTTCTCTCTTCCTTCCTTTTTTTGGTTTTTCCACACAGGGCTTCTCGGTATAGCCCTGGCTGTCCTCTGCCTCCCACATCCTGGGATTAAAGGTGAGTACCATCACTACCTGGCTTTTTCTTTTTTTCCTCTTTTTCTTTTCTTTCTTTAGATAAGAGTCTTTGTAGCCTAGTGGAACTGGCAGTGTAGACAAGGATGACCTTCAGTTCCTCCTCCAAACATCAAGTGCTGGGATTACCTGTCCAAGCAACCACACCCAAGTCCTTCATTGCTTTTGTAATGATGCTTTTGTTTTACGATTACTATGGACATTAAGGTGACAATCACTGAATGTTAAAATTCATAGTTGCAAAGGAGTGGGAGGACTTGAAGAAAGAAAGAAAAAAAACAGCAAATCAAAACAAACACTAAAGTAGTAGGATGTCTCTTTAAACTGCACCCACATTGTTGCTTTGCGGGAACATAAAGCATCATTTCATATGTGTGTGAAAAGGAGTGGAAGTCCATTTCCATCCAGCTAGGCATCTTTTTTTTGGTGGGGCGGGGGTCAAGATAGGATTTCTCTCTGTACACTTAGAACTTGCTCTGTAGACCAGAGTGGTCTCAAACTCATGGAAACTCTCCTGAGTCCCTCCCAAGTACTGAGATTAAATGGGTGTGCCACCACGGCCAGGCTTGGGATCATTATTTTTTCTAAAGAAGTGAAAATCTACACATACTTCCTGATGGTATTGTCAAAAGGAGTCTGTAAAACATCTGGAAGGTGCAGTATACCTACAATACTTATTTTCCTTTCCTGCTTCACTTTCTCCTTAGTGTTTACTTCCATGTAACACACTGTTAATTTCACCTGTAGAGTGTAATCACATTAGTGCAAGGGGCTGCTTTGGTCAGTGTTAGTTCCCCAACAACTCAGAATAGTGCCTGTCACAAGACAGGTGATCCATAGTAATTTGATTAATAGGTATTGAATGAATAATAATATTATTAAATATTTATGACTGGGAAATATAAAAGGATTTGCCAGAAAGTTAAAAAACAGCTGCGATGTATATGGTAATCAGTCATGAAATGAATATTTTTCAAACTTTGAAAATGAAAGTAGTAGTTGTTTTAGCTTTAAACTGAAGGAATTTGTTTGCTTATTTTGGGATAAGGTCCCAGGTTGGCCTTAACTCACCTCCTCCTGCTTCAGCTTCCTGAATGCTGGAATCCTAGCATGTAAGACCATCAGGCCAAAAAGGGATTTTTATGTCACTGCTCACTATGAACTAGAGAGGCACTATATGACAAATGAAATTCTGATCTTATCCAGCACAATGGGCCCAATACCCAGCTAAGAAAGGAAGAAATGGAGCCTTTTTTTTTTTTTTTTTTTTTTGAGACAGGGTTTCTCTGTATTGTTTTGGAGGCTGTCCTGGAACTCGCTCTGTAGACCAGTCTGGCCTCGAACTCACAGAGCTCTCCCTGCCTCTACCTCCTAAGTGCTGGTATTAAAGGCGTGAGCCACCAAAGCCCAGCCTTTTTTTGGTTTTTCGATACATAAAAAATGTACATTTTTACACCTTTTTTCATAGTGGCTGATGGGAATGGAGACTGGACTTCATCATCCTTTTCCAACCATTTCTTCTTTTTTTGCTGATATAAATAGTTTCTTGTGAGTCCTTGAGTAGCACTTCCTACACATGTTATATATTCACTGTAATTACATTAGAATTAAAGGACACAGACTTGAAGAGACAAATGTTGGGCATATTTGAAGATACTGAGTCACTATTAGATTCCACACTGGGAAGAGCAAGGCCTGGAGAAGGTAAGCCCCTGTCCACATGCCCACTGCCACATCTAATCCAGAATCAGTGTGCTTTCTTTACTTCTCCAGTGACCCTTCTTGTTTGAGTCATATTAAGGCGAAAGCAATGTCCTCTTCTCTGCCATGGGTGATTTTATACTTGACATTCCTCATTTTCATTTCTCATATCTGTGGCAAGGATAGAGACATCAGCCAAACAGAAATAACTTTGGTGTCACTTTCTTCTTCTGAAATTCAAACTGTCTGTCTGTCTTTCTTCCTTCCTTCCTTTTTTTTCTAGAGACAGGGTCTTATGTATCCCAGGCCAGTAATGGAGCCTGGACTTGAACTCATATCCCATGAACTCTATACC